CACCATCAAAACATAGTGATATTAATACACTTATGGTCTAATTATAAATAAAGAATTCATTGTAAAATATAGAGGGCTAGGGTTAAAATGAATTTCAGTGCCATCACGATTGCTAATTACATATTAAATGATTAATTACCGAGGTAAATTCTCAAAATGTCTGTACAAAGGGAGGGAAAGATTACTGCACACAATCTGAACAACATTATTCTTTATATTTCAGCCGCTAATAGTTTTTTCATATCTTTGTAGATATGTACTAATGTTAAACTTGTTTGAAGTGATAGATGATATGAAGATAACAGGATGTAAATTACTCAAACTAGGTTACAATGGCCACAGAGGTCATTAACGAAACTGCAGCCTGAATAACAAGTTACATAACAAACCAGTTTTTATCAGTCAGGCACCAGAAATTTTCTAAATGCCTTTTTGAGGTCAGAAAGTATTCTTTTGTTGTGTTGTAGATTTAATTTTAAATTGATTAAATTGTCATTTTTGTCAGGAAGGGACCTGGTCATGGATGTGACCACGAACACAACAGTTGCTCTAACAGAGCTTCAGGAGTCCTCTGCAGAGATGGGAGAACCTGCTGAAATGACATCCATCCTAGCAACACTCCATCAAATCAGGCCTTTATGTCGTGAGATGGAAGCCACTTTGAGTAAAAGTAATCTGAGAGAAAGAGGATAAAGATGCTCTTGTCTGAAGGGACAATAATTGAACCCTTTGGGCAGACACCTATACTATGTGTGGATAACACCAGGCACAGCTCATCACCTGGATGATATCATCCCTACAGTGAAGCATGATGGTGCCAACATACAGTATGCTATGTAGGTGCTTCTTAGTGGCAGGAACAGAGAGACTGGCTGCATTCATCCTTCCCTAAATTCTGATTAAAGTACTGAATTAAAGCTCTGAATATTTCATACTAATTTTCAGTAGATTTTGGTGTATGATTTTTGATCTGCACAAAATTCTTTACACATTTTCACTTTGTTGTTATGGGTTGCTGAGTGTAGCTTGATGAGCAAAAATGTCAGTTTCATCCATTTCAATCCACACAGATTATCCCTGTGTCTGGTACATACTAAAAAGTGCCCTAGGTTCCTTTCCATTCTCTGGTGTTTTGCCCAAAGGTAACTGTCAGTGCCTGGAGGGACACCTCCAGCCGCACTTGACTTCTCCAGTAAGCAGCAGCTGTTATTTTGGGAACTCTGCCTTCTTCCTTTCCTCTCTTACCCTCACTCCCCCTGTATTTGGGAGACAGGGGAGCCATTTCAATTGAGGTCTGATAATGTATTTGCATTAGATTACCAGTAAACTGGTTTGGGAAGGGCATGAGTTTTGACTCTTTCTCTACAAAGGCACGTCCATAATGCAGCAGGAATTGAGATGAATGTATTCTTGTCCTTTTAGACCATGTGACTTCAGGTCACATTATTGTCATTTTACAATACTCCCATGTCTGTCCATGTTTTTCCTATGAGTCTGTGTATTGCAGTAATGTTCCTTTAGTCATTGTTTCCTGTATTCTCAACCTTATTGGGACTTTTCCTGTATTGACAAACATGGTTTCACTTGTGCTTGAAATGGATCTTTTGTGATCCGATGTACAAAATTTACCAAACTTTTGTTAAAATTTCCAAGCTATAAGTTATAAATAATTGTTAGTCGTGCTGGAGACTACAGCCGGCAGGGGGATTTATGCTTCTATTGTTATCTTGAACCTCTCAGTTTCTCCAAAAGTGAAGCCAAAAGTGACGTCACTGGCGGATTGTTATCTCCAACACAAAGTTGTTGTATGAGTTTCACATGCAAATATTGAACCAGTAGAGTTGCGATTGACTCTGGAGAGTGGCATTGCTATTATAGGCACCAGTGTGTCCCTATCAGTCTTCGAATACTTTCCACACTTTATCAACATCTGATTGCAGTGCAGACTTGACCATAGTTTGATATTTTTTGATTGTTTGGATTAAAAATTTTATCTGAATGGTTGGATGTGCTAGTTAATATGTCTCAATGTGATCTGATAATACTTCCTGTTGAAAAGATGTGTAAAAAGTGTGGGTCCTATGACAGTTTCTTTAGTCAAATGTAGACCAAAAGATGGACTGACAGAAGGAGATAGACGTGCATCATGCTCGCTATGCTGATCCTCCCAAAGCGAACAGTTTGAATGGCAAGGGAAGGGGATGTTTTAAGAGTGGAGGCCCTGCAGGTATCTGACAGCAGTCAAATGAGTCCACAAAACAGAGGAAACCTGTTCTGCAGCTTGGCTTGTTAAGGCTGTGTGGATGGGTTCCGCTGAAATGAACACGTAGGAATAAGCGACAGGCAGAAGAAGAGTAAATGCTTTAAGTCTTCCACACCAGCCAAGTTTTGCTCCGAGATAGGCAGACAGAAACGGCAGTTACATTTTATCCAAATTCATTTGAATTTTTTAAAATTCTTTTCTAATTTTTCCTATATATATATATATATATTTTTTTACATTCATTCTTTTGTTATTCATGTTGCTTTTCAGATCTTTATACAATTCATATATTGCCCTGCCTTTGAACCCAGACTGCTGGGAGAGAGTCACATCATCAGCATCGGCTGCTATAGAGTGCTACTATGGAGGATAAACTGGAAAGCATAGCACCACATGTAAACATACAAACTGCAATAACCGAAACGTATGGTATCATAGACGAGACTGCAGAGGTGACCCTCAGATGCCCCTCATTACTGTATTCATTTATGCAAGAGAAGAGGCCAATATGGATCAACATGTACTATTCGCCCAGAAAACAACCCATTTTGGCTCTAATGAAGTCTGCTGACAGGCTCTCATGAGAGTTGGAGTGGAGAAAGCATGCTAATACAGTGTAGTGTGGCACACAGAGGGTTGGTTTTGGCATGGATTGTGGATTGGTTTTGCTTTCAGAGGCCCAATTGACTGTTGACTGTGCTTAGTTTTAGATTTAAAAAAAAAAAAAAAAAGGTTTGACTTGGCTTTCCCAATTAGAGCAACCATCCCAAGCTCATTAGCCTTTAATCATGAATAACCACTAAGGGTTAGTGGGGGTTGCATTTTGCTCCCTCCATGATGCGCACAGTTTTCTTTTTTTTCTTTTTTTTTTTGGTTCCTACTGTATGAGAAAATCTTAAAAAGATGTTTGATTTGCTTGATCAGCTCGTCTTTCATCATCTATACAGTGGTTTAATTAAAAATAAAATAAATAAATGAAAAATTAAATATATCCTTTCACCCTGATACTGCTACTGCGTTAGCTATGGTGATTGAAAGTAGTAGCTACTTTTTCTTCTTCACTGGCTCAGTTGGTCTCTCCCTGCAGCCTGCACTCTCACCATCAGTTGTGTCTGAGTCGGGGCCTCTCGTTGGCTCTCCCTCTCCAACAGCCTCCTCCTCTCTCTCCTCCTCTCTCTCCTCATTTTGTGTCTTTTTTTTTTTTTTTTTTTTTTTTTTTTTTTTTTTTTTTTTTTGAAATAATCAGCTATAGACTGCTTCATCTTTGGAACATGGGAACAGCTGAATTCATCATCAGTGTGCGTGTGCAGCCAGAGAGAGTGCAGGTAGAGAGAGAGACCGACTGAGCCAGTGAGAAAGAAAAGAGTACGCAGTGGCACCAAAACAAAGCCTAATGATCATCAAGCACTTGCACAGTTGCCACATTCAATTTTAATTTTAAAAAAACTGTTGCATATGCAACCATTTTGGTCGCAGTCTGGAGCCCTGTGTTTGAGCAAAATAATTCCACTTACGACTGCCATCATTTTTGTCAGGCAGTTTAAAAGGACTCCGATTCAATTTCAAGGTGTGGTGCGCTGCTTGATTCTATTGCCATATTTTAGTTGTGCCCGTCCCCACAGTAATGTATTTTTCCTACTGTTGGGTATAGAACCAACCTGGAGCAGCTGGCTACTTCTTTTAAAAACTGGTGATGACTGTTAAGAGCAGATTATTGACCGTGCAGACTTGAGCACAGCTGGTGGGATGGAGCACTTGATTTTGCTGAATTGATGTAGTATTGAAAGTTTATTACTAAGAATATTCTGGTGGTATATAATATGGTGACATATGCCAGCAACTTACTCTACAACATCTTAATGATGACAAGATACCATTATCTTCTACATTATGATATGCACATGCCCCTTATGTTCATGCAGGTGTCCTGAATAACTAATGTCTTGTTTAGCCGTGACAGATGTAACAGCTTAGGTCAGTTTAACTTGACTTAGTCTGCAGCATAATGCAGTGCGATCCCGATGTTATTATCATGTTAGTTTTATCCTCACTGGGTAAAGAAATATACACACTGAACCATCATTTACATGCTGAACCATAATTTACCTCGCAATCCTTGTTTTCCCTTTACTTTATTGGCCTTTCTCTTCTTAACGACTCCCTGAAGATCTTTCCTGTGAAAACATTTGCATGCGCGCGCGCACACACACACACACACATACACACACACACACACACCCATGGTAGTGTGGGCTGGTGCAGGGGGAGTCTCCAACTCTAACACAGCCTCTGTCTCTCCGTCACATTAAAAAGTCAATTTTTTTTAATAGCAACAACAGCTGGAGCTGACAGGGCCCATGTCTGCTGATGGAGCAAACAGCTTCTGAGCTGTCCTGCAGCTCAGGCCAGGCTGCCTGCCTCATTACAGGAAAAGGAGACAGAGAAAGGTGGTAAGAGGGGGGAGACAAGGAGGAGCGAAGAGGAGAAAGGAAGTAGCCTGTGCACTCAGGCAGGTGTAAGACATGTTTTGGTGTTGTGTGATGTAAAACACCTTAGCGGAGAGCGCGCAGGCTTGGGGAGATGTTGAGCTGAAGAGGAGAAATTGTGATCATTAGGTGTGATGGAAACCTCGAGATGGGTACCTTATAGCAATGTGTTAACTCTCTTTTACTTAAAAGTCAGACTCACTCATTCTGCCTCCCTCCTTCCATTCCCCTTCCATTCCCTTCTTCCTCAGTGCACCTGGTTGAGTCCCAGGAGATGGCTGAATCTGCAAGAGTACCAGAGCAAGAAGCTGATGCAAGAGAGTGGCGTCGCTGTCCAGCGCTTCTATGTGGCCGACACGGCTTCTGAGGCTCTGGAGGCTGCAAAGAGACTCGGTGAGTAGAATACACACACACACACACACACACACAGACACACACACAGACACACAGACACAGACACAGACACAGACACAGACACACACACACACACACACACACACACACACACACACACACAATCATCCAGTTCACCTTCCTCTGCAAAGAAAGGAGCAGCATTCCTCAGTAGGAATGGAAATTGCTCGATACTGGTGTCAGTAAGATATCTTCAAATCAATAAGTCAAGGTACCGATGCTATAAACAGTCCTTTCATTAATAAATTACGTTGTAGAATATTTACTTTGAGGAAATTCTTTATTTCCTATGTTTTCTGTTAATTCTTTTTGATTATTTAACACAGTTACAACAGTGTTTAATGTTGTTGTAGCACTAGCAGCCACAACCTACATACAGGAAATATATGATCCAGGATAGACTTTTATTTCAAACTACGTTGAAATGACATGATGGTGATCTGAGTTCTTTGATGACATTGCAATGAGTAGAAATGGTCTCATCATTGCTGTACTGCAATGCAACAAGCTCTTTGCTCCTGCAACACATGAGGTTTGTTGAAATACATAGAAAGTTATTTGTACGGTAAACAAGTATTTTTTTTCATTTTGTAGATTTACACATAAGCTAATTCTTTATTACTTCAGTGTTGATAATGATTTAGATCTTGAGTAAACTGTGATTTGGATGTAATTGCTGTGTACTTGTGCTGCTGTACGCTGTGAAACTTTGACAGGCCTATTTGTGCAGCATTGCTCTTCGGCCCTGCCACAGGACGTGCAGATGCCTGTGGTTAATCAGGGCTGAAGTTTTATCAAGTTTAATCGCATCTTTACGTGTTTGCTTATGTGTGGTGAGCCTGTATTTGTTGAGCTTAGTGGTTGTGCCTACTCAGTTTTTCATCATGGCACTCATCCGCGCTAATTTGTTTCACAACCTCTCGTGTTCAGCTTCTCACGCTTTGCTTTTTTTTATTTTTTTTATTTATTTATTTTTTTGTAATTTATTTATTTTTAATCCTTGGTTAGAATTGGGGTTTTGCCCCCAGACACTCGCTCAGAGCCATGTAAGGAAGTGACTGGAACTCTAATTTTATTCTTGTAGCACAAATCTTCACAAATGCATTTTACTTGCATGAGCAAAGATGATTTAACACACATTTATATGCACCCACACATAGCCTTCGCTTCCATTCCCTACCTTCCTTGTTCTACTTTCTTCCCACACACCAAACTGCCCAACACATACAGTGTATATTTCCACCCTCAGATTTATATTTTATTCAGTGTCCTCTCCAACTACAGCAGCGCCTTTCTGATAGTGTATCCAGGTTGGTTGTCAAGCATGAGATTCGACTCTTACTGCTGCCTTTAGGCTCCAGCGCCCGGGGCACTGCTTTCAGTGGCCCTGGTTACGATGCGGACAAAGATAAACTGAATAGGAGGAATAGGATATATATTTTCATGACAGTACCTATATTGCTTTGTAGGGGAAGAAATGGAGAGACAGAAAACTCAGGACAGACGAGTTAGAAGGGAATAGACAGCTTAATAAAACCCAGGCTGACCTCAAGGGTTGATTTACTTACAACTCAGGATTGTCAGTGCTTTTTTAGATGCTAAAAAGTCAGATAACATTTGTACATGAAACAACATCATGGTGCTGCATTGAAGTTTTGTACTGGCAACAGAAAGGTGGTTGTGGGTTATTCTAATATGTATTTCAGGTCATCTCTATGTTGAACTGCAAAATATGTGCAGAGGGAAAAGATGGCTGAAAGTGATTTATCATTGCAGATTGTCCACCGCAGTAGGGGTAATTGCATGACTGCAGTTATGAAATATTTTTATTGGTCTCTTCAACCAATATTTCAAGCCCAGTAGCAGAGAAGTTCCACTTTCTTTTGCACTTCATTGCTTTCCATAAATAGACAAGACACGTGTTAAAAAGCCAAGCATCCAGTCTTAATTAGTAGCAATGCATTCAAGTTAACTCGACTGTGGCTGTGACCACTCATATCATGAGTGTTAGTAAATTCCCAGCTAAATTGAAAACATGTGCCAACGCACATTATTGCAGCTCTGACACTAATTTGCGCTTGGCTTAGTAAATCAACCCCTTTGTTCCCATAGTGTAATTCACACAGCTGCTTTATCGTCTTATCTCTATTTATGCACTAAGTTTTGGTCAGTGTCCATGTACGTGTGTGTCTATTTCTCACACTTTTTGTATCCTGTGACCGCTGCTGGCTCACTAAAGCATGCATGAGAGCATCCCCCGATGCTTCATTTCATCAGATGCACAATGTGTCTGTGTATGGCTCACTCTTGGGCTATGTTAGGTCATACATGAATGTGATAGAGAGTGAGAGAAAGAGGGAGATCAGTAACCTCTTAAGTTAAAGATCTGTTGAGCTGAAATGCAAACTGAGGCTGCCAAGCGCTGACTCCCAGGGGGAGTCGGGGTGTGAAGCCAGCTCTGGACGAAGCTCGGTCTCATGGCTTTCCACTGGGGAGCACACGGGGTACTGTGTGCAGGGGATGTGGATGGTTGGGGTATCTGAAGTGACCAGGAGCAAATGGATTTCTGGGTGGTGCTGATATCCTGCTGTGAGCTCCCGGTTCCCTGCATACACAATGGAGTGAACCAGTCAAGCATTGAAGCACAGTCACAGATGAATGACATGCGTAGTATAAGTTTGCCCATATGAGCACGCCGACACATAGACACTCACACACATATGCACACCAGCCAGTACTCTCCTCTCCGCTACACTCACTTAACCATGAAGTGGTTAAGTTGACAGTTCAATTGCAGCTATGCTATATAGAAACTCCTCTCACTCCTCTCATGTACTGCAGAGTGGTCCACCTCTCCTAAAGTGGACACAGATTGATTTGTTCTTTTACAAGTGAGGACAAATAGCTTAATATCTTTCTCCTTCTCTATCAAAACATGAAAAATAAAATATCCGACATGGACCATTGATTCTCTTAAACTTGAATGACAACTCTTAGGGGAGAGTTTACATTGTGGCAGATGGGTGACTCACAACCAGCTAATGGCTTATGGAGAATAGGGTTTGATTTCTGTGGCCCCATACTGGGTGAGCTGCGCAGGGAGTTATCAGAAAGTCCAAAGTTTTTGTAATGTGTGCTCCACTGGGACATTGAGAGAATGGCATACTAACGCCTGCTGTCTGTCTAAAACCAATGACCCAGATCCACAAGACACACATACCCTTTTAATTCTGGTTTTGTGTCTGTGTGTGTATGTGTGTGGCAGCTCAAGCAGCTGTAGGTTTGAAAAATAAACTTTTGGACCTTGAAGTTACACAGCATACATTTAAATGTTTTCCTTTTTGTTGAGTCGTAGTTGTCTCTCAACAGATTTTAGGCATCCAGGTGTCTAGTTCTTTTTTGTGGCTACAGCAGTATGACAATACCTACTCATGCTGCCAAAAATGTGCTACGCTGTTCAGGAGTACAAGAAATACAAGTAAATGTCTATCGGGCAGAATCAATAACTGATGGGTGTTATGTGGTGCTGTGATGCTGCAGTCAAGTTTCAGTAGTACTTCTATTTCAGTTCTTCCTAAAATGTGACCCGAAAGAGGTCCGAAAAATTAAGCCACACATATTTGTGATAGTATGTAGGTTTGTGTGCTTGTATAAATATATACACACACATTTGTGTGTGTGATATTCAGAGTCCTGGTTACTATCTAGCATGGTCACTATCTAGCAGCCTTGATATATCACCAACTCCAGTAATGAATATAGATTTTGGGTTTGCCTTCGAATATATACATATACACATACCTGTGCCCTGCTACAGCCAAAAAGAATGTGATTATGCAGTCCACTTTTTGTGTTGCCACCTGCTTGACAGATGCATCTGTGGAGCAAATCTTGATGGATTTTCAGGCTGAATTCTAAATCAAAACCACATTTTCCCTCCCCTTCCTTGCTGCGAGAGCCCTTCATGTCTGCCATGCCTCCTGCCTCCCCCAGCAATCATTCATTGAAAAAGCAGCAATGGAAGAAAACATTGCTTTGGATTCTTATCTTCTCTGCATGGCGAGCCTGTGTGATGAATGGGAGCAACATATACTTGTGTGTGTATAAACAATTCATATCAGATAAGTTAGGAATATGTTGTCCCTCTTTACTAGTGTCATCTTCCTGACAGATTGTGGTGCAATCTGTATCTTTGTTTTTTGTTCTCTCCGTCCTGTTTTCAGTTCTTAAAGTTACCTAATTTCTCCCACTCTTCACTCACCTCAGTCTACCTCTGCTGCTCTTTTTCACTTCTTTGTGCTAAGCACAGCTTCACTGCCAGAATGACAATTAACAGAGGTAGGAATCATTTTAATTTATTTTCACCTAGCTATGAATATTCAGTGTAAACAGAGCAGTTTTTATGCATGGCTGTCAAATCTCATGTGTGCTTATTAGAGGCATAGTTAGTTTGATATGTTGGCTTACAGAATAATATGAGCTACCTTGACATTAGCCAGCTCTTTGAAGAGGCAGGTGTGTGCGTGTGTGTGTATGTAGGTGTGCAAATTTGGTTGTGGCTTTGTTGGGGAGACAGAAATAAAGAGATCTATAGGATCCACTCATCTCACAAACACGTGTTCATCAGTTTCAATCTGCCATGTATTACTTTTATATGTCAACATGCTTGAAAGAACTCAGTAATGTAGTTGGCTGAAGTAAACACAAGTTTGCTCCATCAAAAAACATGAAACATTTTACTGGCCATGCTAAATATAGTTGTTTATTTTTTTCCAGAAAGGAGACACTCGTTTTTGGTTACTGGGATCTTCAAATGCCCTTAAGTGTAGTGAATGAGGTTCAAACTGTGCCTCAGATGATGTGTAAATACATGTAGCTCAAGGCCAAGGACACTGTTGTGTGATTTCAGTCTGCCCATTTAGTCGTCTGCTCCCTGTGGCAGCTCAGACCCCCTCTATGCCTCTGGCCTGTGATCTGCA